CTATGAGGAGGTTAGCATGGCGTCCCTGAGCTGCTAAATTCATCATCCCTGGAACTCCCTAGTTCTAGAGCTTGTTTAGTGAGATGCTTATCAGTCTTTACTATTTAAACCCCTTTTAATTAACTCTTCTCAGACTTAGATTCAAAGGGATTGACATCTAGGGAAACTTTATTTCTCATACCTTCTGTTGGAGAAGGCAGAAACATTGTATAATGTACTTCAGAAATATTTCCACCAACATGGTTAAAACACATTCAAGACTTAAAATAGGAAAGTTTTACTGGTCTGGAAAATTCAGTTTTGTGGGGCAGTTCAATCCTTGAAAATGCCAAACAAATGAGGGGTTAACCATAATTGCTTCCCCGGGAGTCACATCATCAAATATTTTCATCATTATTCACAAGCCAGCCATTATTTCATTTCTTCAGACTGTCCGCACTGTATGTTGCCATGCTTTTTGCATGTGCTCAGGTTAGGACAGAAGGTCCTCCAGGATCCGCTTTGTGTGGTTAGGGCACATTCCCAGCTCTGGCCTCTCAGGCCTCTCCAGTTCCTCGAAGCTGCCTCTGCAGCTGTGTTAACCCCTGGTGGACTCGCTTCAACTTGCCCTGCAGTGATGAGTCCATCTGAGTGTGACTCTTTTGGAGAGCAGTCTGTACCCATCTCGTTCCCAGGCTAACTCAACCAGTGTGGGAAGACTGCCATTTATTTAATGAACATCTGCATCTTACTAACTACACACTAAACCTGTGAGATACATAGATTCCAACTACGAGAAAATTAACCACCACATAATCAAAATACTCGCCTACGAGAAACGTAAAAGTCAACCTTTCTAATTCAGAAGTACCCCTATTGAAGGCATTAAAAATTAAATGGAGCTGGGCATGGTGATGCACACCTGCAACCTCAGCACTCTGGGGGGCTGACGTGGGAGGAGCACAGGTTCAAGTTCAGCCTGGACAACTCAGCAAGACCTGAACTCCAAAAATTATAAATAACTAAATAAAATAAAAAGTCAAAGAGGGCTGGTAATGTCAGAAGACCTTGGGTTCAATCTCTAATGCTGCAAAATGAATAAAGGGAGAAAGAGTAAATAAATAAATAAAAATAATGAGTTTGAGGCCTGCCTAGGGGACTTTGTGAGACGTTGCCCCAAAATAACAGTGGGGCTGTAGGTCAGGGGTGGAGTGTTTGCCTAGCATGAACATGTCCCTGGGTTCCCCCAAAAAATCAAAATACTGTTTCCTCTTATCATCACTATCTTTCACTCAGTGACAGGGAGAGAAAATATTAAAGAGATTTTGCTAACTAAACTGGTTTTATTTTTTACTGGCTTACACTGGTTTCGAATTTTCACTATCTTTGGTGTGAACTGAAGCCTGCTGTACGTGCTACAAAAATCCTGTTATAGAGGGAACGAGCATGATTTGCCCTTGAAGCCAGATTTTAAAAAACAAAGCAAGACAAAACTGGCTCTGTTTATTAGTGGTGACATCACAGGCAAAATACCTCATCTTTAAATACTGAGTTTCTCATCCACAAAATTTGGAGAATAATTCCTCTCTCACAGTGTTAAAAGGATTAAACAAAAACTGGGTAGGCACTAAGTAAATGTTCATTCCATTCTCTTCTTCTGTCTACTCTGTTCCTCACGTGTCTCCTCCATGTCTGAAGAGCAGGCTTTCACAGCCTGCACATCCCTGCAGACCTGGTGGAGTGTGCACATGCATGCACTGCTGATGTGCAGTGATGGGGTTCGAACCCTGGTCGCGTTCCTCAGGCATTGTTCAGAAACTATTTTCCTCTCACTTCTTTCCCTGCTTGTTTCTTTCCAGGTTTACAGCTGTCCTGGATAGCTAAAGTTTTAGAAAATCTTCCCTTTGCTTACACTCAGCTTGGCATTTGCTTTTGAGGTACTATATATTGCAAATTAATCATTCCAATTCCCAGTGGAATGTGCATATAAACTTGTAAGAAGAACTTCAAGATGAAAGGGGAGCTGCAGTGTTGGCCATTGAAGAGCCAGGGTTCTGTCATCCTCCTACTTAAATGAACCAAGACTAAGTCCACCAAGTTAAGTCAGTATCACCATTATCATGGAACTCAACACTGCAGATGGTCCCAGGCCCAAGGCCCCCTGAGAGATTTTTGTGATCCTCCCTAGGCAGATGTCACTGCAGAGGACTATGAGCTCATGAGGGCAGGGGCTCTGAAGCACTTCAGTTTTCCTGCACTTCACAGAGTGTATGACACACGACAGACAATAAATGCTTGTTGAACTAAAGGAAAGGAATGTATGAAGCAAATAGAAAATAAAAACTTACACGAGATTCCATTTCATAGTCACTGGATTGACAAAAATGTAAAAACCAGACCATACCCAAGAGCTGTCAAGGCTGTGAAACACGGAGAATTCCCACTCAATGATGATAGACTATAAATTGCCACAACCTCTTGTACAGTAAAGATGACGAGGAACACACTCCACAACTCAGCCTTTCCATTCCCGAGAAACTGCCTGCCACATGAATACTGGAAGATGCTAGGCAAAGGTTTGTTGCAGCATCACTTGTGACATCAAATGCTGGAAACATCTTAAGTGTCCACCAAGTGGAGACTGGATAAATACACTGTGGTGGATCCCCCATCTACAGCACTTTAAAGGAATGAGGTAGGGTGACATGAGCAGCACATACAAATCTCAAGGACACACATTCAGAGAAAAAAGCAAGTTACAGGTGAACACTTTGACATATGCTTATAAAATTTAAAAACATGCACATATTATTATGAATGCCTGTGCGGGAAAAGTACAAAAACACGCATGAGGAAGATGAACACTACATGAAAGACAGCAGTTATCTCTGGGAGTTAGGGGGAGAGAGGGATGAGATGCATCAGGGAGAGGGCGGGACTACGCTATTTCTTTCTTTTCTTTTTTCTTTTTTTGGTACCGGAGGAGATCTAACTCGGGACCTCGCACTTTCGAGGCAGGAGGCAGAACCACTGAGCTAAATCCCCGGCCTATATGCTATTTCTTTTAAAAAGAAATATGGTGGCATATACATGTCTACAATCCCAGCACTTCGGGATGCTGAGGCAGGAGGATCTCAAGTTTGAGTCCTGCCTGGCCAACTTAGCAAAATCCTGACTGAAAATAAAAAATAAGAAGAGCTGGGGATACATCCCATTGTGAAGGCCCTGGGTTCAACCTCCCAGTATTAAAAAAAAAGCAGCTGTTACAGTAAAATATTAAAATTTGAGTAAGCTAGGTGCATGAGCTTTTCTGTACTCTTTATATATACTCATGCAAGCTTTAAATAGCTATCACTTTTTAAAGTTTTAAACAACAAGGATGTTAAATTGGGGAGGTGCTGAGGGGGTGCATGTGCCCTTGCACATGCTAAGCCTACACTGTACCACTGAGCTACAGCCCAGCCAAGACAATGTTATTCACAGTTGCAGAAAACAATCTGTATAATTCCATTTATATAAAGTCCAAAAAAAGAGAAAATATACATGATACGTTACTTGTTATGTTTATCTAAATAATTATTCACGGACATACAGTGAGCAGTACAGCTGTTAAAGTCAAAGGGGCCCCTGACAGACAGTTCAGGAGAGTTCTGGGAGCGGCAGTCACAGGGATCCTGAGTCCTGGTGCTACCTCTGCTTCTGAGCATGGGTGGTACTTTATTAGTCCTTACAGTACCCAGGTATATTTCATCTGATCTTTATATATACATATTCTTTTTTAGTACTTAAAAAAAATGGGAGTATTTATAAAACTAGGAGGCTCAGGAAAGCTGAATGGCCTTTAGGGAAAAAAACAAAAGAAAACCCAGGTTGGCAGAGCACCAGGAATGCTGAGGGCACCCGTGCCCTTGGGCCCACGCATGGGAAAGGAGACGTGGCAAAGGCGAACCAGCCGCTACTGTGTGGCGTGTGCAGGTGACAGCAAGGCATCACACAAAGGAAAGGGGAACCCTGCCTGAGGTCAGAGTCCTGCCTGAGGAGACAGACTTAGAGTTGGCTTTTTAAAGGAAGACTCAGCACCACTGAGGAATGTTCCAGAGAAAGGGACTAAGACAAGAAAGCATTAGGTATCGTGTAGACATGGCGGTTTCCCAGTTTGTATTTGACTTCTTGGCATCATATCCATTAACTGCAGCGAAGTTCTTTCTTTCCCACTGCACTCCAGCCCTTGTTTTTTTTTCTTTCAGTTTTTAGTTTTTAATGAACTTGTAAACAAAAAAGCTCCCATTTCAAAATAAAAACAAAATCCCAGATCATATACATGTTTACAGTGATTACATATCTAAGCAACATACATACATGTTCAGTTTTAAGATGTTAACTAAATTTGTGACAAATATGCCTTTTTTTTTAATACCAAGAACATTATAGAGTTAATGCAGAGTCCTAAGGATAATCTAGTAGTCACTAAATTTTTCTTAAGTCTTCACTTTAGATGCTGTTATTTCTAGCACAGGTAAGCAGGCAGTCTTTCATATGCTCAAACACTGGAATCTTTGGTTGCTACCATATCAGCTGGCTTGCAAACAAGAAGCAACCATTTAAAGAATGTTTTAAATGAACAACTTGCAAACCCCAGGGATGGAAAACCTTAAGAATGCACGATTGTGAGCATTTACAACCATCACAACTGTGGCTGAAGACTGTTCATGCTGTTCTTCTGAAATGAGATCTCAAAGCAGGATATTTCAAAATAAAAGGTTTTAACAAAAAATTGGCATATGCACAATTTCTCCACCAATTTGTGTGTGTCAACCATTTAGTTAACTTTTCCACTTGAAAAATGCAATAAAAAACTGAACACCATGTTTCACTATCTCAGTTAATATTCACAATTACAGCGGCTACAACTCCAGACAAAGCATCAGCCATGCTGCCCAGAGCCAGTTTATACTGAAATTAAGTTCTTTACACCAAGTAAATGGTTGTCCACAACCACTGGCTAGTGTACATATGAACTAAAATTTCTAGATTTGGGGAGAAACAAATGCTGCTCCGATCATCTGCTCTGCTTCTTCTGTTCTTCAATTCATGCTTAGAAACCTTTCATGTTACTCTTGGTTTTGTCAGTTTGCTTGCCTGTGAGGGTCTGGGCCTGCTGACCCTGCCCACTGGAAGAGGCTGCCTGCTGTGCTGCTTTCTGCTCTAACATTGTCCAATCAAATGTGTAGTCATATTGGTGATTCAAGGTCCTGAAAAGGATGCGAAATAGCTGCCTCAGGTACATGTAATCTGGGGCTTCCTCAAGGCGCACCCCAGGACAATAGTTTAAGTACATGGCAAATTCTGCAGGAAATCCCTTACATAAAACTTCAACAGGAGTGGACATCTTCTTTTCACTAATCTTTTCATATTTTTGTTTTTTTGTTGCAGCCTTGAGTCCTTGCCATGGCAGGCTGGTTCTATTAAAATACATCAAAACATAACTTAATGATTCCATGTCACCTCGACGACTCTGCTCAATACCAAGATGTGCATTGATGCTAGCATATCAGGCAGTACCAGTGAGGCTTTTATCTTCTCTGTATGGTATGTGTTGCCTTGTCCTGTTGTCTCTGTACTTTTTGGCCAAACCAAAATCAGTAAGGAATAACTTACCACAGTGACGCCCAATACCCATTAGGAAGTTATCTGGCTTAATGTCTCTGTGTATAAAATTCTTTGTATGCACATATTCAATTCTACTGATCATCTGGTCAGCTAACGTAAGTACAGTTTTCATTGTGAACCTTCTTGAACAGAAATTGAAGAGGTCTTCAAGGCTGGGTCCCAGAAGATCCATGACTAGCACATTATAATCTTTTTCCTGGCCATAGCACCTTATGTGGGGGATGCCGACCCCACCTTGAAGAATCTTACAGAGTTTGCTCTGGTACAGCAACAGGGGATGCCAGGCCTTCTGAGACTCTAGCTTCACTGCCACTTCCTCGCCGCTGGTGATGTTAACAGCCAGGTAAATGTCCCCGAAGGAGCCAGACCCGATCTTCCGCACCAGTTTATATTTCCCTCCGACAATGAATTCGGCCTTGGAGCCGCTGCTGCTCGCCATCCTGGGAGACCAAGATGGAGCCTGGGGCCAAGCCCCGACGCCTGAGGGGAGGATGAAGGCCCTGGGGCTCGTTCACTGAGCACGACTACGAAGGAGGGCGCAGGAACTGAAAAATGGAGGCCTTTCCTGGCGTTACAGGGTCCAGAATCGGCCAAGGGAAACCCGATTGCCGTCGCTCAAGTCAGATCTTTTTTTGCCAGGCCGCAGTCTGTGAGGCATTTCTCGCTGTTACTTAGGTGAGGCTATTTGTTTCCGGGCGGGCGGCAGCCGCTGCTTCGCTTTCACAGCAACCTAGCGGGCTGGAATAAGGGCGGGCGGTGAGTTAGGGCGGCGATATCGCTGCCACCACTGCCACCGACTCCAGCCCGGTGAGACCCCTGTCACTCGGCCGATGCCACCATCTTGTTACTCTGGCTCCAACCAACACAAAATGCCCCCAGTCCCCGGGAGTCGCTTCTTCACAGCGCAGGACACTCTGGGCAACTCCTGCCCTTGTTAACTTGTCAAAATGGGTGACACGGAGCAGAGGGAAGCAGATGCTGGCCCCAGGAAGCTCAGGGGCCAAGCTGCGCTCCCTCCCGGAAGGGCCCTGCTTGCTCCTCTGGGTTTATCTGGGTTCACTCTCTTCAGGGCTCAGGTTGTCTGGAGATGCTCTGTCCGAGATCTGGGCCGCTCCCAAGTAGGGCTCACAAGGGGCTGCCAGTGGCCAGGGAGGGACTGGGTCCCTGGCATGGGCACCTGGCTTCATCCAGCCCTCACCTGGCAAACATATTCCTTGCTTCCCACCCCATGCTGGAACTGAGCGTGCCCACTTGCAGACCTCTGCCTCCCGCCAGCTGTGCCGGCTGTGCTCTCTGGCTGTGTGTGCCCTGCAAGCGATCCCTGCCTGGGTCCTGGTCCCCATGCTCTGCAGATACCCTGCTTCCTCACTCTGGGCTCCTTGTTCAGTCCCTGTGATCCAACACTGCTTCCAACACTGGCATAGGCCACATCCCGCCTTCCTCCAGGAAGCCTTCCCTGCCAGCTCTGTGAGGGATTTATCTGTCTCGGTGTTCACAAATTGACTCCTCAGCTGGGCTGGGCAACATCAGTGTGCTTGTTTATGTGTTCCCCTCCATCCTGGGTTAGACACATAGCAGGTGGCCAACAAATAACTTGGCGATTGCCACAGATCATCCGAGTGAAGAAATGTTGAATGCACTAAACATATAAGAGAGAAGCAGGCTCTTAGGAGACACAAAAAGAAATCTACCAAGAGAGAACACCATAAATAGTATTTAGTACTGTTTTAACTTCTATTTTTAAAAGAATTTAGTCACAATAAATAAATTCCTTGCCTGGGAGTATTAAAAAAGACATCTGGCTAAAATAGGGAAGAATGTGATTAAAAGAATCCTTAGATAAATTAAAATATATTCAAATGCAAAATCCTGGGCACTTAAAAGCTTCTAATTTCAAAAAAATCCCGGACAATGTACCAAATGTAGATGATTAGAAGGAAAAAGACAAATCCCGTCTGGTTAAGGTGGGAAGGGGGCTGGCACTGGTCAGCTTAAATTGCAGTCCTGAAAAATCAGAACAAACAAGCTAGATACCAATTTGTAAGTGTTGCGACTACCCCAACGTGAAGGATGACTAATGTAGATTTATGAAGAAAATAAAATTCTTCAAACCAACCTAGTCTTTTTTTTTTAAGGATCTAGTTTTGACCTTTATATTCTGGAGAAAACAACCTGTATGCAATTTGACAAACATCCCCTAGGCATCTACCAGGAGCCTGCCCCGGGGAAGCCAGGTCCCTCGGGCTGGGTCTTGCTCCCCTCCAGGACAGCACAGCTCGACCTCCAGTGTTCCTGGGAAGGAGGCCATGGGGCAGCAGTGGAGGTGTTCACACCCCTGGACTGGGTGAAAAGGATGGTGTCTTGGGACTTCCAGGGGGCCTACTGAATGAGATGGATTTGAGCAGGGCTTGGAAGAGAATCAGGATTCTAACAGCTAGGGGAGCACTATGACTGGGAAGGGAGGGAAAAAGACAGGGAGCGGGCAGCAGAGGGAAGGGTCAGAGCAGAGGACAAGGGAGGGAACATAGGTGACCAGGGTAGATGGCACACAGGCAGGAGGGCAGAGTGCTGGTGCGGAGGGGCTCTGGATACAGACGTTCACCTGTGGAGTGTTCTCAATGCACAGCAAAAGCATGGACACCTTCTACAAGCAGTTACCCTGGGACATTCCTAATGCAAGCCTCCCATACCACTCATTCCAGTGGGCCAGACGTTACCCCCAGCTCAGCGTGCTGCTCTGGAAAGCATAATGCACAAGTAAAAAAGGAGTAATTATTATTAGAGGAGCTTATCTGGGTGAAGAGGAATGTTCAAGGAAGGAAGTGCTCTGGAGAAGACGACCCAGGTTCCCCTTAGTTGTTACCAGGTTTGGGCAGATTAACTGAACCTGAGTTCTTTTCCCATCCATAACAATGGAAAAACTGTAGCTTCAGGGCTAAAAATAGAGCACGTATACCATGCAATCCAGCATCTGGCACATGGAGAGTGCTGGATGAAAAAGGCTGGAACCGAAAGGAATGTAACAACAGGATGGAATACTGGAAGGGATATGGACTTTGGAATGTGACAGATCAAGGCTTGATTCCTACTCTGCCAGTTCCAACCTGGGTGACCTCAGGCAATTTATCAAACTCTCCGAGTCCAGGTTTTCCCATCTTTAAAATGGGATAATACCTACCCTGCAAGGCTATTGAGTGGTTTACATGTTATAATGAATGTATGTGTAGAATACTTGGCACCCAGCAGGTATTTATAATGGATACCTATTATCATTCATTTTTCTCTAGAAGTAATTAAAAATTCTGTGTCTATATAATTTTTTCCCAGCATGACTAAGAAAATACAAGAAGCTGAGAATATACACAATCCATAGATCAAAAGTAGCTATGTTTCTTTAAGTTTTCAACGTAGTTTTGTCCCGCTTTGAGGTAAATTCAGGAGTCTTTAGGTCCTCTACTCTTTAACAATCTTCTTTGTTCAAGTAAAGAATCACTACTGGGGGAATCTCAGGCTGAATGAGGCCCTGCAGCGAGCCCTGACCAGGGACCAGAAACATCTGACTATAGGGGAAGCCTAAGGATAACTTGCCCACAGTTTCCGTGAGCTTCAAAACGAAATACTGTCCTCATTCTTACAGGTGCCTCATGGCAAGTAAAGCTTTTCTTTTCTTTTTCTTTTTTCTTTGCTTTATTTGTGAGTGAACACTTGTTCCTCAGTAAAAGAAGACCAGAAATATAATCAGTTTATGGATATTTAAGGATTATCTATTTGGCCTGTAACTCACCCAGGTTTTGATGTTACGGTTTTCTGGGCCTACTTCTTGATCATTATTTCTTCTATAACAATAGGAGCATGCAGTGGGGGAATGGAAATTAATGTTCTTCTTTGATAGCAATTCCAATTAGAGTTTCCTTTGAGGTAAAGGTATGGTCACTGCCGAAAATGAGGCTTTTAGGCTGTCTTATTACACTCGTACCTCACCAGAATTAAAGAGAACAAACTGTAAACATAACATGATCATGCCAAGGCAAGCCCTTGACTTAAATGAGCTGCTTGACTTGTACATCAAATGGAAAGGAATAATATAATTCCTAATTGAAGGCACTGGCTCAGTGTTATCCAAAGAAAAGCGGCTTCATGCTCAATAAACCATTCCTGATAGCTATGCTTTCCATATATCTGAGGGTTTTCATTCTTGAAAGCTCCAAAATCTTTTTCACTGTTTTTTTGACAGAAATCTTTCAAAAACAGACTTCACATTTACTTTACTCTTATCCCTTTACCACTCAAAGTCAAAATTATGATTATATCAATTCTTTTTTTAGTTCATTCATCACGCACTTATTTAAGGTCTACTACTTGCCCAGGGCTGCCACCATCAACAGAACAGGCGAGCAATAATCACACCAAATGTAACCGCACGCCAGAACCAATCAAAGAGCTCAAGGACCTAAGAGTGCGCTCCAGGCTGCACAACTTCAGGGTGCAGGAATCAGGGCATAGAGGAAGGGCCCTGGGGCTACGTCCCCAGTCCGCCACACCGCCACCCCCTCCTGCCCCTGTGGAGCCTCCTCTACATCAATTCTTAGAGTCTTCATTCAGGACACTGAGGCCAATAACGTAGGCCAGCCCCAACGCAGGCGACTCGCACCTACTGTTTGTAGTTTCTTGGGCTCTTCCCCCTTGCTCCTGGCCCTGGTCTATTAGGTTAGCCTCCCAGATTCTTCTAATGGTCAGGGTCTCTATGCCCCACAGGCCTTCTCTAGAGTGCTTCAACTGCTCAGGACTTGGGAACTAGCCCACCAGACTTAGCAGGTATGACAGTCAGGCTTGGGGGCACTTGTGAGTCTCCCCAACTCTGGGACACCTCTTTAGTCCGCTTCCTCTCAGCTTCTTTTTGATAGGATGCTCACAGAGCCCAGCTGAGCTGTACTTGGGCAACATATTTACTCAAAAACTTCCACATCTTGTCACAACAGAGGTTACTCAGACGCAGTTCAGCAAGGGCTTGGAAATCACCTATGTACTTCATAAGCACAGAGATGGTGCTACAGAGGGTGACCTGCCCCAACTGCCTGAGCAGCTGCAGAGCAGACCCCAGGGCCCTGACTGGAGTCCATTGGGCTTCTTTGCAGCAGGCCACTTAACCTCATAATAAATCTCCCTTCAGGAATCAAGCAACTGTCTCTACCGCGGCTGCCTTTACAGTATGACTCTCGGTTCTTCATTAACTCAGATCTAAAATACTCCCGAGAACAGACAATAGATGGGCATTGTGGGTTTTTGTTTTGTTTTTCATTCTAATAAGTTTTTTTTAACCCTAAGAAAAAGGCAGGAAATCAAGCCGGGTGTGGTGGCTCATGCCTGTGATCCCAGTACTCTTGGAGGCTGAGCCAGGAAAATCACAAGTTTAAGCCTTGCCTGGGCAATTTAGCAACACCCCCCCGCCCGCCCCCCCAAGTGGAGATGTAGTTCAGTGAGAAGATCCTTCTGGGTTCAGTCTCCAGTAACACACACACACACACAGGGGCAAGAAATCAGTATCTACTGAATGCCTACAATGTGCTGGGTGCTTTCTGCCCTGTGAGTCTTTCTCATTTCTTTTTGTTGGGGAGTGAGTCCATCCCCGGAGGACAGGCCAGTTAGAGAATGTCAAGTCAGAGAGGGAACTTGAAGCTTCGAAGAAGAGGCTGGTCAGGGGTAGACCCTAGTCTTCTGGGTCTGGAGCCCACCTCACCTGCCTCCTACCACTAGTGCTACTCATCTGATTTACTGCTTGTGTCTAACATTCTGGAAGAAGCTTCTACTTGGGTATTTGGCTCATCTACTACCTCAGCCGGGGGCTGCTGCAAGCAAGCAAATTCTCTGGCCCTTGATCAAGAAAGCACAAGTCTGAGAGACTGACACACTCAGTAGGGAGGGAGGAAGAATATGATGTGCTTGCCTTTCAGACAGGTTAAGCTCAAGGGTACAATGATCTCAGACATTTAAGAATTTTTATTTTAGATGTTTCAATTTCTTTGTTTTCTTTCTTTCCATTGGGAAAACATTTTATGGTTCTGTCTACAGGGCTTTACTGTTGTTCACTTCTGTTCCTCTCCCCTCGTTTCCGTAACACGGTACGGACTGCCACTTCACGTCCGGTCAGCATTTTTACTGCCCCAGTCTCCATTTGCTCAACACTCCCTCTCTCCCAAAGCTCTGTTGAGGGGTGTGTTAACCCTGAAGGCCTGGGCCTTCAAAAAGTACCATCTATAGATATCCTCTTATGACTTCACAATCTCCATATTCTTCTCCAACTGCTCACCTACCTACATTCCAGTCTGATCATTCCAGGGGCCGGGGGAATACCATGATATACACTTTGTATCTGCAAGCTGGGCAAATGACTCAACTTACAGACAGACAGAGTGAGACTCAGTGTGTTTAGAGCCAGGTATGTGTCAGAGTTCACCCGGAATTCAAGCCTTCAGATTCTCTATCCAGTGGTTCTGATGGCACTGTAATGTTCCACTGTCATCTGGGGAAGAGCTTCAGCTTGCTCTCTCTTCCTGTACATCAACTAAGTCTGCCAGGCACAGAGCGTGAATCAACGCTGACCCTCTTCATCCTGCTGCTCCTTCTCTGGAAGGGTGACATCCCAGAGAGGACTGCCGTGGGGCACAGGCACACTTCTGGTGTGTGTGGGGCGTGGTAGGGTGGGTCGTCACCTTAACCTCCACTGTGGATAAACGTAAGAAGGAATGCGTAGTTCTTAAATCTATCACCCTACTTTATACAGCTGGTTCTGCTTTTGGTTAAACCTAGGAACAACCGGTGAAACCTCCCACACCCACCATTGAGTGTGGACCTGAAGTAACTCAAGCCTCCCGGCCTCCAGGAACTGGCCCCTACCTGCTCCACATGTTGAGGCCAGCTCAATGACCAGAAACTCACCTTTCATTCTAGCCCACTGGGATCAGCCAAGGTCTTCTGAATAAAAACGACTCTGGAATGCCGGTGAGGACAGTGAGGGGAGGCCTACAGAGTCTCCTGCTAAAAAGGTGTAGTACGGCCCACTAAGATGGGGCCAAAGACTGAGGTCTGAGTACAGAAGTCGAAGTTCTTACACAGCACGTTTAAGTGCAGGTGAAAGGAATCAGACTAGAAATAAAGAAACCCAAGTTCCAAATGGCTTTAAAATAAAGTACTTTAAACTTGGCCACACCTCAGCAGACTCAACAGTGGACTCAACAGCTAACCCTCCTCAGTTCGCCTGCCACTCGCACCCTGCTACCTCATCCACGACCCTGCCAACACTCGCTTCGATGGGAATTTCTGTTGCTAAAGGCCAAGTGGCTTGTTTTAGGTATATTATTAATTGGTTCCATGGAAAAACAGGTTTGATTCTTTAACTGTTCGACTTGCCAAGTTATCACTCAGCCGTAGCTCACAGAAAAATTAGACTGAAATCCATGAGGCAGTGCCTGAGCAGATGCCGGTGTGGACTGGGGGAGAGGAGTCTGAGCCCTGGGTCACCAGAAGCTTCAGGAAGGGGACCATATCCTCACAGGCACCCGTGACATCTATCCAAATGTGTAAGAATCTGGCTTTAGAGCAGTTTAAGAGTTCCACAAAACAAGGGAGTTGCTCGTGACCACGAGCGTTTTTGACCACAGGACTTCTGGCCAGTAAGAGTTAAAGCCACTTTTAACACAGCACAGGCCTGAGATCTCAATTACTTAAAAATCAGCGATGACCTGGTCTGAGAGTAGGACCAACCGCATTATCACAAAGTAAAAAGAATATGTGAGTTTGTACATTCACTTTAAAAAGCCTGTAAGTTGCCTGTCTGCATAACCCTGGGTTAAGAGCAGAGGATTTTGAGATGAAGCAAAAATAAACTCTGCCTCAAAGGGCTCATCACTGGGGAAAGGCAGTAAACAAGATAATCACAATAACAGTGTGAGAAGTACTAAGCACTGCTCTGGTGGCTCTGAGGCCAAGACTGAGCAGCTACTACTCCTTCATTTCTACCTGGTAGATAAAACACAGATGGTGGGAGTGCCTGCCCTGCCTTGCCAGTGTGCACTGCTGCTGACTAAGCCTCAGGTCCAGGGCCAAGTCCCCTCTTCACCCCCGCAAGTGGCCTTCTCACCACGTGGTGGTCAAGACAGCAAAGTGTGAGCTCCTCAGGGGTCCTGAGGGGAGGCTAAGGGCAAGCCTGGTGCCTCCCCCAGTTTTGAGTTTGGCTTTCTGTTTTCCCTGGGAAGGGATGAACTCTCTGGCCAGAAACCTCACCCTCTCCTCCACTAGCTCCTTCTTCTTGGGCTCAAGATTCTCTCATCCCCAAAACTTGCCTCCTGGACCACCACCCCTAGCAGCTGTGGCCCACTCATTCCTTCCCAAATTCTCGAAAGTCATCTAGCTCTGTAGCCTGCTCACACATGGCTTCCACCTACACCCATGTTTCTTTCCCACTCCAGCAAGCAGCTCTCTGACCGGTATGGGAGCGCTGCTTTCCACTCAGTTCCCCGCCACTCCGGCCCTTCCAAAGCCTGCCCCTGCCTGCCTCCCTGGAGCCCTCTGTCCAGGCCCTCATCTGACCCTTTGCTGCTTAGCGGTTTCCATCAGGAGTCTTCTGCCCTCATCCTCTGCTGGCCTTCCCCAGAGCTGTTTTCAGTCACAGGTCAGTCAGTCTGTGGGAATTCCACCAGCCCTGTGGCTTTGGGGCCCCACTGTGTCTGTCATGAGCTTTAGTTTCCCTTTTTTTTTTTTGTTTACTTACCTATATCACCATTTACTTTATCATATAAACACCTCAAACTCAATATATTCAAACTCATTTTCTTTCTTCCAAATTCTAGTCCTCTTCTTTAATTTCTAGTTCCTCCTCAGCTAACGAGCTAGGAATTATACAGCAATCTGCAATTCCTCCCTCTCCCTCACCCCCGAAATCCGAGTGTTCACCGTGTCCTGATTCTACTCCGAAATATTTCTAGAATCTGTCCTTTCCTCTCCCTCCCTACTCCCACTGCTTTACTACCTTGCAATCTTTTGCCTGAACTAGCTACCAAAGTGGTTTCTGGGCCCAGCCTCCTCCGCTGGCTCCTTCCTATTCATTCCCACCTTGCCCTCAGCCCGGAAGTGTACCGAGGCCCTCCCACACCCCTGCTCCACAGCCTTCCAGCACCCACCATCAGAAATGGAACGCATTTTGAACAACTGGTCCCCAAGGCTCTTCACAATCAGGTACAGTTTTTTTCCTGCTTCATCTCCTCACCAATTCTACAAATTCAATTTTGTGGATGCGTTTCAATCTTCAGAATGTACTACATCAAGTCTACAAGCATGCTGTTCTCTTTATCTAGGACAGAGTTTCCTCTACCTAGAAAATTTCCATCTGCACTTAAAAACCGAGCTCTAGGGCATTTCTGTCAGGCTCCTCAGAGGGGGTTTTATGTGCTTGTATTGTCCACCTGTATGAGAGCAATTTTTAGTGTTTGTACTCAGGCGTTCGCAGGTCGGTCTCCCCCACCCGAGTGCAAACTCCTTCATGCACCAACCCACTTCTGTGAAACAAGGCCTGCGCAGGGCTGGGCTGATAGCAGATATTCAGTGTTTGCTAAGTTGACTTGAAAGTACACAGGCTTTTCTGTTTGGCAATAGCACTTTACCCTCTGCACACCCCGCAGTTCTTAGTGACACCGTCCTGCGGACAGAGAAAGCAAGAAGGGAATGGCTGGTTAGAGAGGCAAGTGCCCAGTGGCAGGAGTAGTTAAAAGAGGCGTCAGCGGGAAGGTGTGCGGTCGGGTACTCTTGTTTCTCATTGTATGTCTGGGCCATGTGCTTTTGTAACCATGTTCATGTTTCTTTGATAAATAGAATAAATAAAATTCCTTGTTGCTTATGAATAATCTGTTTGCAAACTGCAAAGCCATTCAGAGGGCTTAAATCCGAACAGGCTGTGTCATTGGCATGTACCCAAGACAAAGGAGAGATCTTCATGTGAGGCTGTTCCTCAGGGGCCACTGGGCGACAAAGTCCTGCACCTGAGAACAATGTTCACCTCTGCAGAGGAACACAAGTGTTCTTGGACAAGGCCGCTTAGAGATAGAACTCCTATGTTTGTGCATGTTGTCTTTTCATTAAGAAAATGACTACTTTTTCTAACCTTTCACATAGGAAAAAGGGGGAGGAGAGGAAGACTTTGGAAGTTAATTCTGCCAGTTTATGAAAACTAGAATTTTAATATTGTAGGTTGAGGATTTTCACACACATACACACACACACACACACACACACACACACACACACACCTAGTGAAAGGACTTGGGTCTTCATGCTGGACATTGTAGTGCAGAAAGAGTGAGGCTGAGATCCCTACCAGGCTGGTCTAGCATTGGGGTCAGTGAAGCCAACACACAGAGGGCAGCGTGGTGATGTAGAGCAACCGCATGAACGGCCACGTTGCCCAGCACAGATCACAAATAGATTATTTCAAAGGCCACAGATGGAGATCAACACTTGCTCAAAACATCCAATGGCTGCACGGTACAAAGGCATATTTTGCTTTGGTATGTAATTTCCTCACTACTTAACTATGAAAGTGTATCAGAATTGAATTCTGGTGCTCTTTCTAAATGGGAGCTGAGTCACAGGTACCTCAGTGCTGTGTCTGCAGACTAAAGTGGATGACTCATGTCTGTGAAATTCTGAGAGAAAGTACCAACCGACCCCTTGCTTAGTCATCTTTTGCATGGATGCTGGGTTCATGAGCTCTGTAAACTATAATGAGCGATCTAGCCTTTTACCATCTCTTTATTCTTTTCTAAACAGTACAAATTACATCTCTAAAAATATCCTCATCTACGCAAGTGAGTCACTTTGACCTAACAAGCTTCCACAAGTAGTTACACAGCTAAACTGCAATATTTACTTGTGAAGGTACAAATCTTGTCATATTAGCCTCCATTTTTCTTTTCTTTCTCTCTCTTTTTTTTGGTACTAGGGATCGAACTCAGGTCCTTGCACTTGCGCAGCAGGCGGAAGACCACTGAGCTAAATCCCTGGCCCACTCTTTTTCTTTTAGATCAAACTTTGGTAGACTGGGACAAGAGAGGAGGGTTTCATCAAATATTTTAAAGAAAATATAGTTCACTCCTAACCTTTGACATGAGCAGGGGAATGGAATGGGGGTGGAGGAGGGAATGCTTTGAGAGCTATGAAACAGCTTATGAAAAGTGAAATTTTAATATTTTACGCTAGAGTGATCAAAGACTTTTCATTTAGTGAGGAGTGCATATTGGCTCTTGAAGGAGTACTGGTAATTCTATTTACTTTAAAATCCTGAACTGTGAATTTATGACATTTTTGACAAAAGACCCGGCCACACTAATAAATGCATAGGTATTAAATATTAATTTTTGCTCTCCCAGGAGCTGATCTTGTACCACACCCTGAATTCTCTAGACACACAGCTAAGCTTTGGCGCCCCACCCATTAGCCTTCCAACCCTCAGGCCTGCCCACTGGTCTCCAGCTTGCCTTCCTGAGCTTGGCACTGCTGGCTCTCACCAGCCCCAGCCCAGGCCTGTCCCAGTTAGGCAATAACTACAATGAATTTCACTGGGGGCAGGAGCTTATTCCTTCATAACGTAGGCAGCGATACAGAAATATCAAAGCACAGTTCATCTCCACCCAGCTTTGATCGGAGGAGACTGGGAAGGTTCCTCATCCACGTTGGGCCAGCAATAGAAGTACCAACACCACAGCCCATTGCCCAATTCCAACCAGGGGAGTGGCCGAGTCGCCTACATTCTTCCCAACTCTTATTCACTTGATTTGTACCAAGATGACCAGTCCAGTCACTCATCCTCGAGAGCCGCCATCCCCTGCTGTGGCAGGTTGGGTCTGGTCGCTTCTGGATGGTCGTCACTAATTCAGCCTCAGTCCTAAGTCCCAGCAGTGGCCTATGCACTGCACACAGGGGCAGCTTTCATTCACGTCCTCATTCCTCCCTGGCCATGCCACAGTCTGGCTCCCCTCCAGCACACTCGTTACCCTTTCATCTCTTCTAAGTTTCTCTTTTCTCAATGCAAAATAAGCAGAACCAACTAGCTAGGAGGAAAAGAGTCATTGCATGTGTGAGCATTTCAGGCTGCAAGGTGCTCGTCCATCCGCCCTCCCACTGCAGCAAGTGGTTGCTGAGCCCCCTCCCAGAGCCCACCACTGGGCCAGTGAGGCATGTGCGTGAGATTCTCACTTAAGCCTTGGGCCTCAGTGCATACCTTAGCCAGAATAATGAAGCAAGCACACGGAACAACTAATGATCCATCTAGGGTAATATATGCTGAAATCTCATGTTACACAAGACCAGGTGTTACGCAGGTGACAGCAAAGTTTTCAGAAATGGTGCAACAAAAGCAAGGAGATAATGAGGGGTGGCAAAACTGCCCAAGTGCCTGTCACCTGGAGACTGGATAAAGACGTGGTTTTTTATACAATGGAGTACTACGCAGCCATAAAGAACGAGAAACTAGAGACATTTATGGCTAAGTGGATGCACAGTGAGGCCATCCTCTTAAGTGAAATAAATAGGACACACATGTGTAAATACCGAATAGTTTCTGTGGTATGAGAAACTAAAAGTGTAAATAAGGACTAAAAGGTATAATAGATAATGTGAAATAGGAAGAAGAGGGGGAAAGGGGAAGGGGTAGTGGGAGGGGTAGGGGAAAGGAAAGAAGGGAAAGGAAAAATTATGAGAAAAGGAAAAAATGGAAACAAAGTCTATGTAAATAGGGAGGGGTGGAGGGGGTGAAGGGAGGGCTAGGAATGGGGAAAAAATAAGAACCAAGATACATCATGTAAAGGTACAAGATCCCAGTGATGAATGTAACTGTGTTGTATACCTAACGTGGACCAATAAACTTCATGGAAAAAAAGAGAGGCGGCAAGGGAGGCCAGCAAAGAGACCATGGCTGAAAGCTTCGGGCCTCCTGAGAGGCCACAGCACAAAAGTGGTGGCTCGATTGGATGCATGGAGTGGCAGGACATAGGAGCCAGCCAGGGAAATGATCCTGTAGTGAAGAGCAGAGGTATAAGCCAGGGAGGAGGCACAGGAGAGGCACAGGAGTGGCACACGCAGAAGTAACTACAATGTTGCATTTCTAAGGCTGAGATGGATTCTGATATGTTTTGCTGTGGTTTAAGCCTCACAGACCCTGGGGAGGCAGGCAGGGTAAGTAGCACCTCCCTTCAGCCTGCTTTCTGACTATGCCTAGAGTGCTCTTTCTGCCCTCTGAGCAGTTCTCTAGACTAGCTGTGAATCAGACTAGGAAGGTAGGAAGCTATTTCTAAAACACATACATTGGGCCAATGGCCCTCCCCCAAGCCCCTCTTGATTCACAGTGGAGGGTGCAGGAGGACAGAAAGAGGAGGTGCTGGGGAAATCTGACTTTTTCAAGGCTCTGAAAGTCCAATATGCAGTCAGGGCAGTAACCACCGCACCACCCTGCCCTGTACTGTGTGCCTCCTCCCTAGGAGTCTGATCCTACCATTAAAAACTGTATGGAGCAGATGTTCAGTTCAGGGAGTTGGGGAAGAACTGTCTCCTACACCAGGATGTCGTATTGGCTCCATTTGCCTGGTGCTAGCTTTTATCTTTTATCCTTACCAGCCACAGCAAAGCAATTGTGTGGCTTTCTGGAAGACTAACTGAGAGCACTATGGCTGTGAGGACGACTTCTGTGATGAGGGCGCTGTACTCGTCCTGCTCCCGGTGAGGCCTGGTGCTGCAGGGCTGTCTCCTCAGGTCTCCAGCTCCCCCAGGCAGACAGAGGCATAATCCTGATTCCCAGGGCTGGTGGTCACACAGACTTCTCTGCTAGACAACAAGCAAGTTGGATTATCTTACACTTTCTATGTGACAGAAGCTCCAGGACTATTTGCTTACTCTTGGCGCGGGGTGGGGGTGGGGGGCCTCTGCAGCCAATGTGAATAAACTTCTGCCCAGCTTCAGCTTTCTGCTACCTCCCTTTGGAGCAAATGTAAACTTCTATCCAACTACACCGTCACTTGATTGTTCTGACTTAGACTGAGATCTAGATCCTTGAAATGAGTCAAGCCTCCCTTCCACTGTCTCTGAGCCTTTCTCTAGGTAAAAAGCTGCCCCTTTTATCATGTCCTATATGTCATCTCATCTCATATCTTCCCACCCGCAAGCTACTAGCTTTAGAGGATTTTGCCTGAAGGACCATTCTCGCATGGGACATCTCAATTCCTGAAACCAGCTGACACATTTCTAAACCTCAGACAAATAAATTTGGTATATCATTGTTTTTACAATTCTATTACAGATAATTATCTGATTTCTACCAGGCTTCTGAATTACATTTTGAACATAGGATAGCCACAGATGCCCACTGCTGCTTCTGTGAATAAACTGGTCTAAATACTAGAAAGCATCCCTCATCTCCTGTTCATCATACCATACTTCGTCTTTGGAGAGGAATCTTAAAACCACTTCCTCTTGGATGCTTTCTCAAAAGAATTCTCTACCACCCAAAATAAATCTTCCTTCCTCTTCCCTCTCAAAATGTATTTGGACCTATCATACCTATACTTCTCTTCTCTCTACACACAGGCCAACTAAAAATTAATGCTCTTGAAAGTAGGAACCACTTCTAATTCTACCAACTGCACAGAACTGATCGAGCGATCATCTGAGATAGTTAACGGTTACTGATTAGTGTAAATGTCACAGGCAAAGGATAATTATCAAGTTTAAACAAATACATACATATGCTAAAACCTAAGAACCTATTTTGAACTCACCATTTTCAGACTGGCATGCAGAGTTATTGATTTTATACTGTACAGCTATCTTGCCTGGGTGGCCCTTTCTTTCCTTTTTATCTAACGGCTCCATAAAGAATGAATCTGGGGTGATAAGTGCCTGCTGTATTTATCTAAAATCCCTTTCAAAACCATGGGATTGGTTCTGCTTTGGTATGTCAGTGGAACACACTCATTGTGAAGAGGCTTGTTTCCTTCACAATGTGTCAACACATTGATCTCTCAAAATTTCTGTCAAAAAAAAAAAAGACAAAGAAACTATTTGAAGACTGTAACCAAGTCACGTCACTGCAGCTGGAAGTACAGCTAGCTGTTCCCGTGCAGGCCTGTGTCACGAGGCAAGAAGGTCATGTTGGTTCACTACCTGGGCGGGGAGACCTTGAAGGAACAATTTCTCTGATGCAGCAGGAAGTTACCCTGGTGGCAGGGGCAGGTGGTGGCTCAGGTCCAGCTTGAGACGCCACCAAATCAAACAAACTCAAAATTTACTGGGCATGGTGGGTGAAAATCCTAAGACTTGGGCCTAGGTCTTCCTGAAGAAGTGTACATATGCAGAGCAGCTTCTTCCTTTCATCTCTAGCATGGCCAGACAAGTCAGGCATTTCATAGAGATTCAGCTGTGTGGATAGCCATCTTCTACACTGGGAAAACCAAGTAAGATACTCCATAGGTGCTGGAGCATAATCTACACATATCAGCTCAGTGAGTCTGCATTCCCTGCAGACCTGACTCCCGAATGTCCGGGAAACAGGGCAAGATCATCTCACTAAGGATCAAGAAATGACAGCATTGCATCATTGTGTGAATAAGATAAAGCAAGGCAGAACAGAAAGAGCTGAGTTTGAATTTGGACATTTGGGACTTGGTTTAAATAGAGCTCTGCATTTATCACCTGTGCGATCTTAGGCAAGTTACTCTCTGCTTTTGACTTTCCCAGTTGTAGAATGGCAATTATGATTTTTATCTTGCAGTGTATCATAAATGATAACTATTAGTGTGATTTGGATTGAGGGCCAAGACTCTTTCTCTTCCACAGAAGCAGCAGAAGATAGATAACAACAGGCTGAAGGAACAGTCAGACTATCCATGCCAACAGCAGGTTAACTCTTGGTTCACAGTAAGGTGGTACCTGGTTTAGGTATAACCACATACCTAGCAGCAGTGGCTAAAGGCCTCTCCAGAGCAGAAAAACCTCAAGTGGGCAGGCACACAAGTGCCAGATATCATCACTTATTGCATTTGTTCCTAGATATGATCATTTTGTAGGAGATAAGTATTATTTTCTGCAATAGTGAGACATGATGACTTTTTGACTTTCAGCGTCACGAGGGAGGAACCATACATATCTTATTCCACTACCTGACAGACTTGCCCAAGACAGATGTTCAATAAAACAACTTCTAATTGAATAGTGACCTTAACCCTGTTTCCCAGCATAGAATAATGAAGAATAGTACACATACTTTAAACAAAGCCAAGGCAGTATGTCTTCCAGGATTTTCATAATGTGTATGTTAGCCAAGTATTACTAGTATTATTAGTCAAATACTATTGGAGCCCCTGATGTGATGTTTAATGTTCAAAAAAAGAAAAGGCCATAAAAACAAAATTTCAAATATCTCAAGATTATTTTTACTAAATAGCCTAGGTTTGTTTTTAATCTTTCCACAGCTCATGTTCACATCTGTGGCCTCCCTTTTATGGGCTCTGGAGCTATAAATCTGAAAAAAGACAGATAAGGTAGGAACCTTGTTAAACAAAATCCCCACCAAAATGACAAACATTCAAACAGGAGTGGCCTGCCTTTATCTGTCACCACCCAGTTTTGACGGAGTCCATTTCCCTTTTACAAAGGATCTGCTGTCTGTGAATTGAACACTTTACCCAAGAGGCCAAAAGTCACTCCCCAGCTAGGGATTTCCCAAAGGACTTGTACTGCATGTTCCAGAGCCTGATTGCTGAGCTAACTATCTGGGTTGCCGTAAAATGCCTTGATTTTTATCAAAGGTTCGACAGATTGGGCTTTTTGATAACCAGTCTACTTCCCCGAAAAATGCAGATATTTAACCATATGCTGACTCATTCCTGGTATGGACAGCACAGAATCCCCTACAGCGGGTGGGGACTTCAAAGGCCAAACCTTCCAAGACAAGACGGATGGGAGAAGGAAAAAGAAAAAAGCAAAACCAAGAGTTGTTCTGGAGTGATTATTTATAGACAGTTTGTAAGCAGCCAGCTAAGGTTTGAATCCTGGCTGGTAATTATTACGGTGCGGGTCCTTTAGGTTTTACATTTTAAGATAAAAGAGATTTGACATGTTTATTAAGTAATCTGGTCACTCTGGAAGTTAGGTATGCACCTCTGGTGACAGAGGTATGGGGATTATTTCTGTTGGTGACAAGCCTCAGCTTTGGTCTGCCAAAATGTTGAATCTGGTTGCATCTTTGCAGGTGTGAAATACTTGCCTCCCATTGGAAATTACAAAGTAATCTCTGCAGGATTTCTCTGCAGGGAAATAATCTCTATGGTAGATATCAAGATGCACTACACACTCAGATCCTGAAGATGATTAAGCCAATGGATGATTATGACAGGTTTATGGAAACTGTGGGGAAACTTTAAGAAAACTGCAGAACCAGATAGGATTACGGCCCGGGTACTAGAGCTGGTCGAAACAATGGGGCCACATTTGTGATTTTAGGTACACTCAGCCGCGAAGTGGGTCACGGTCACAACATTAGGAAAAGTAATGAATAGAAAAAAAAAAATCACCTTTTTAAATGAGGAGCCTGTTCTCAGCCGCATTCCTTCAACTAATACAGATGTTCATTACTACTGCTGATAGTGTTTCAGTGCATTCCTTTAGAAATATTATGCAATATTTGATACATACCAAAAATACTTTTCAAACACACACACATATTCTGAAACATGATGAAAAAATGGGATATGCCTGAATCTATACTCCCTCTAACTCCCAAATTCCCTCTGCCCATGTAGGTGCCCCCCCCCCCGCCCAGAGATAAACTTTCTTAAAAGGCTGGCTTGTCATTTCTTTGCTGTTCAGAAATCATGGTTTTGGCCCGGGGATTTAGCTCAGTGGTTCCGTGCTTGCCGTGCAAGTGCAAGGTCCTGAGTTCGATCCCCAGTACCAAAAAAAAAAATCATGGTTTTAATGTAGATTTCTATATCCCTAACAATACATAGTCTTGTTTTGCTTTTTATATATATGATAATTCTATCCAATTATATGTCTCCTGTAACTTTCTTTTCAGTCAACATTAGGTTTCTTACATGTCATCTTCACTGTGTGTGGACATAGTTTATCATTTTCACAGTTGTTTAATAGTGTGAATTTAACACTATTTATTTATCCAATGCCCTGTCAAGAACATTTGGTTTTCTTCTAGTTTTTATGATAACTAATGACGCTACATGACTGTTTTGGTTTTTTTTTTTTTTTTGGTTTTTTGAGACAGGGTCTTGCAATGTCGCCCAGGCTAGCCTCGAATTTGTGGTGATCCTCCTGCCTCAGACTCCCAAGTGCCGGGATTACAGGCATGAGCCACCACGCCCAGCACAGGACTATTCTTGAATATGTGATCAACAATATCTTTTCCTTTTCCTCCTAGGTTTGCCAAATAAACTTACCAGCCTCTCTGCAGCAAGGTGGAGTCATATGACTAAATCGTGGCCACTGGCTTTTGTAAGAGAGGGATGCATTTCACTTCCAGACCTGACCCTGAAATGCCTGACATGCCAGCTGCAAGTACAGGGTGTAGTAGAGGATGCAGAGGCCACAGGGAATGTTGGAATTACTGTGGATGGAGAGGAGCCTGGGTCCCAGAGGGCCCCATGAGGCAGGCCGCCTCCCCACCTTCCCATCCCCACTTAACTGGTGTCACAAGAAATAAACTTTTACCATGTTAGCCAGAGGTTAGGAGCCATTTGTTGTCGGTGTTAGACTTTCCTAATATAGCCTCCATTTCAATGTGCACGTGTGCGTGTGAGCGTGTATGCGTGTGTGTGTGTGTGTGGTGCAGTCAGAGCTGGGGGTCAGAGGAGGGTCTATTCGTGCATTTGTAGAGGAGTGAGGAGGTTGTGGTGATAAAATGGCATCAGGAGGATCCTCCTAGTGGTGGAGTTGTTCTACCTCTTGATTCCGTTAATGTCAGTATCCTGCTTGTTGATAACAGACTACAGTTGTTCCAGATAGTCCCATCGAGGGGAAATATACACAGATCTCTCTGTATTATTTATTATACCTACATGCGATTTATAATCACCTCAAAATTAAGTTCTTAAAACCCACAAAAGGCTATAGAGTAAATATGGAGTAATATTAACAAAACCATGGAAGGTAGTTTCTCTCTTGTTTTTGGAAGACAGACATAAAATGGCCTCAGGCACAGAGGAATCCTTAGGCTCAGATGTGTAACTCAATGCCAACCTTTTTACCTTTTTTTTTTTTTAACCTTAAAAATAAGGACAATACCTGCCCACCTATTTCATGAGGTTTTAGGGAGATCAAATTAAATGAGGTGATAAATGGGAAAGTATTTTGAGCAAATGCTGATTTTTTTTTTTTTTTTTTTTTTTGGTACCGGGGATCGAACTCGGGACCTTGTGCTTGTGAGGCAGGTGCTGGAACCACTGAGCTAAATCCCCAACCCATGAAAGTATTTTGAAATATGGCAAGGTCTTATTACTGACGTTTAAGAGACAACTGGGGATGACAGAAGTGTGATATCCATTCCATTAGTTTGTTAGTGAAAAAGAGTAGCAAAGCTGTGGCTCCTGGCCTCCATGTTAGTTCAGTGACAAGGTGGAGGGGAGGTTAGGAGTTGTGCACACAGGGGGACAAGACAGTGAACATGCACTTGCTCCAGGTGCAGATGGAGTGTGTAATACGCTACTTTTCATATGAGAAAGAAAACCAGACAAGAAGTAGAACAGAGTGGATTGGGCATGGTGCCAGTGGGACTTTTCACAGTGTGCATCTTAAAAAATTAAGTGAATATATTACCTGTTCAAACAATAAAACGACAAAAGAAACATTCCTTTTTTTTTCATTTTTCTCAGTCTTAGTTCCAGGAACATAAAGCTAGCAGAGCGTTACCACTAGGGTTTATGCATATGTGTGGCAGGCATGTGTATGTATGTAGGCATACATGTATTTGTAAACTCCATCTGCCAGATCTGTGGCCAAGCCCTGCATCCTTCCTGTACATCACGGCTGGAAATATCCAGAAGTTATGGAGAGAGGACACTTCAGCGGTTTGGTTTTCAGCCTCTTCGGTCACTTTAAGAAACACCAGTTGATTGAACTCTATCATTACCTATGTGAGACTGGCCGAACGCACTCCACAGGACAAAAAGAGAAGAGAAACAGAAGGCAAGGCCCTTACCTCCACTTCTTCACTGTCAGCACTAGCTAGTACACGCTTGGGTCGTGTGGCGCTAAAAAAGCAATGCTCTCTCTCAGGATATCAAAGTTCAATCTGAGCTGTTTCAAAGGACTTTCTACTAGTTGAAAAGCTAAAATCAAGAAGCAGTTCTTTCTGACTGGGTTGGTTTTCTGTAGCCCCCACAACCTCTAGAATGACAGAAACAGTGAATGGTCCTGAAGTAAACTGCCTTTGAACACGAGGGTGTACGGTCTCCTTCTGTTTATTCTCTCTGGAGTCCACCAAGTCTGCAATCTGGAGCCATTCACCTCCCACAAGAACGGGTCTTTTGAAGTACTGAGTCCCCTTGGTTAGAGGCCAACTGAGCATGTTCTTCTGGTAAATACAGTGTTCAGCACCATCCCCCTGCACTGGGTTCTACCTTCTCATTGACTGGCTGTGGTGGAACATTTGAATTGAAGGCTTTGGCTCCTTCTATTCTTCCAACATAAAACAAAGGCTGTGCTATTCAGAGATGCTTTTGTTGAGTCCACAGTTCACTTTTGAGGTCTCAGTCAAACAAGAGCTTACCCTTTGCAAACTGCAGATTTTTAAACTTGTCTCATACAGGAGTCCATTTAACAGTACATATGAGGTTTCCAAACATGTAGCCAAGTAACAAATGAGGAACATTAGCTTAGTCAAAGAGACGACCAAAAAAAAAAAAAAATGGACAGTGTTCACTGGGGAAAAAGTTCAGGGATCCTGAGCATATTAGACTGTGAGGACTTCTAGAAAGTGACTGTCCCTGTCAGCCCTATATCTTTTGTGTTCATTATGACACCTGGAAGAGTATGCTAAAACGTTCATGGAGCTAAATCCTGCCCTCACCTGGGGGTGCATAAAAGGCAAACTGATTCTACAAAGGCTCTTGTCTCCCCTGAAAGAGCAGCTGGGAAACTGCAAAGAACTACATTTGTAGCTTTCCTGGGAACAATGTTGAGTGGAGACAATGGCTTGGATCAGAAAGTCCTGGGGTGGCTGGCATTTAAAACGTGAGTGTAATTGCTAGTTCCCAGGCCTCAATCAGACTGATAGGTTCCTTTTGGCAACTGTCTTCACTAGTCTCACCTGTATGCAAAATTTGCTGTTCTCAGGCAGGTACTATGGTTTCCCTGGAGATGAGGAATCCTTAATCCACCTTTTCAAAATTTGGATACTTCAAAAGAATCACAATACAAAGGAACAGCTTCATGGTTGGGAGCATCAGAGGAAACACTGTAGGGATTCTAACTTCTAGCTTCTCATTTACAGAAAGGAACTACAAGTTAGAACCCCTACCCACCAGGTTCACTGAGGTTAGGATCTTCCTGACCTTATTCTTATCAAGGGCCTCTAATGGTTGTAGAAGAGGCATCATGGTTATACTGTTTTGCCAACCTCTTTCAAATTACTGTACTTACCAAGTAGTTAGTTATTATTTTATGGCACACTGAGAGAAGTGGGTGAGGTTGGTGAGGTCACTGACCGGACCTCAGCTTCCCCAAGGCCTAGATCAGTAGAATGAGTATAGGCGGACTATCCCTAACTCAGTGGTGAGGTCCAGTACATGGATTAGAAGAGCTAGTAACTTGCTGAGATCTGGAATAAGGTCTTAGTTCAAATGCTGTTTCCTTCAACTACTAGCTATGTGACTTCTGCAAAGTGCTTTCGTTTCCTCTCCTCTTAAATGGGATTATAAGTAGCTCAACCTCATGGGGCTGCTGAGAAAATTATATGGAATTATGAATATAAGCCAGTTAAATAGTACTTTACATACAGTGAGCACTCCACAAATGATATTAGTTATATATAACAATGGTATATTATTATCTGTACTGGAGTCACTTTTTATGATACTAGTGACTTCTAAATGAATTAGATGAGAAAAAAATACCAGGTTGACTGGGACTGAAGAAGGCTGCCAAAAAGACACCGGCCCCTACTGAGAAATTGTTTGTGTCTGTGTGTGTGTGTGTGTGTGTGTGTATGTGTGTGTGTATGTGTGTGTGTCTGTGTTCATTTTTTAGAATGAAGTGAAGCATAATAAAATTTACCATTTTAACCAGGGACATGAAGTACACTGACATTGCTGTACAACCATCAGTACTATCCATCTCCAGAACCTCTTCATCACCTCAAACTAAAATTCCATCTTCATTACACACAACCTGCCATATCCTTTCCTCCACCTCCTGGCAACCACCATTCTACTTTCTATCCTTATGAGTCGGACAACTCTAGTCAGCTCATCAAATAATACTGCGCTTGCCCTTTGGTGAGATGAGTTGTGTTCCAACATCCCTTTCCTCCCTCTTTCACTGGAGGACAAGGGGGTAAACTTAGCCAAAGGTCACTCTTAGTCTAGGTCACTCCCAAAAGCTCTTTCCATATCCCCTAGGTCAGATGGTCTCAAGAATCTGGACTTCTTCGTTGGTAGGAAAAGTGCATCATAGTTTGGAGCTCCAGACAGAATTCCATCCGCGTGAAGTATGGCAGCACAGGGTTCAGTCTGGTTAGTTTAAAACCATCTGGACGGGGGATGGCCAGGAGTCTTGGCGTGGAACGGACTCCACATGGAGACAAGAGCCTGGAACGCATGCTGTTCTACATGAATCTTCACACATTCACTCTTCTCCTGGGGTCCACAGGCCCCGAGATTCAACACATGCCAGACCAGGCTGTCTCCAGATCTGCTCCTCGTATAATCCCTGCTGCCACTATTGGTGTCATCGACTCCCTAGATGCTGAAGAAGAAACCTGGGAATCACCCTAATTCTTCTTATACTGTCATTTTCTACTTGAGATCAATCACTAAGTTTTGCCAGTTTTATTTCCCAAAAATTTTTTTTTTGGTACCAGGGATCAAACTTGAGTCCTTGTGCTTGAGGGCAGGCGGTGGAACCACTGAGCTAAATCCCCAGCCCTCCAAAATATTTTTTGAAAAATTAATCTTCCCTTTAACCCTCATTATTATTATTATTATTATTATTATTATTATTATTCGATTAGGTATAATCTGGACTATCTTTTTCAGGTCTCCTGCTCCTTATTTCAAATCATCTACCAGAATAATCTATTTTCAAAAAGCAAATATATTCTACTTATCTACTGAGTGCTCTTTAACAATCCCTTGCTACCCTCAGCACAAAGGGAAATTCGTCAGCCTGGTGTGCAATGCTGTCTGTGTTCAGTTCTTTCATTTAGTCGCTCACCACTTCCTGGGATCTACCAAGCACCTGAGAAACTCTAAACCACTTAAGAGTTATTCACATACGCTACTATTTCTTCCCCAGTGCCTTTGCTTATGCCAGCCCCTTTGCCTGAAATGCTCTTATGGCCATCCTACCCTAGTACGTTGGGTGTCTCCTCTGTGCTTCCATTATATTTGATTGTGGTGCTCGTTCTGTGACTATGTGTCATTGCCAAAATTCATTAAAGTGTTCACTTAAAATGGATAAATTTTATTACATGTACATTACACCTCAAAAAGATGGGGGAAAAGGTGCCTTGTGGACTCATTGAAGTTGTATTTGTTCAATTAGGAAGCAAACAATGTTCAAATGGAAATTCCACTACACCTTAACCGGAGTATTATTGTTGGGTATTTTCCTATCAGCACTTTTAGGCCAATATGGAGAGGCTAACAATATAACACTGAACACATATAAAAGCACTTACCTGTCCTAGGCTCTTAAAATTGAGACTTTTAAACACAGGAAAAACTGGGGATTGAACCCCGGATCTCTGCACTGAGCTACATCTCCCAGGCAGGGTCTCACTAAGTCACGAAGTTGCCCAAACTGGCAATCACCCTGCCCCAGCCTCTCAGGATGCAGGATAAGAGGTGTGTGCTGCTACACTGGGCAATTAAATGTCAAGAAACTTCATTTTTACTCATTCTTCCACTGATATCAAGTATTCCTTGGGCCAGGAATTTAACCATTACTTCTAAGACATGTTTTCAGATTCTCAATCTGAGGTCCATGCATCTCCACCCTGCAAGGGTCTTTGGATTCAGGGCATTTAGGAATCTGGGAATCCAAAATGTCTATCTGCACTCCCCTTTAACTGAAATTTAGCATTTCTTTCAATTTTAAATATGAGCAACATTCTGCAGTAGTATTAGCAGAAAAATAACTTTGTTACCAATAGAAATGCTGGACA